TCTGATTAATCTACTTAAAATAAAACTCGAATGTTAACATAGTCTCGTAAGTTGTACATACCGTAAACAATTTGCATCCTTAAATTTCAAGTGTTTAATGAGGCTTATAATGTGTTTCTAGAACTTGGGGGTTAAGGTTCCTATGAAATATAGGTTGAACTACTCATAACATTCCAGATACCACCAACGTACACTTGGATTTGGATAAATAAATATGCCCAGAATTTTGCCTACTTTAAGGGAAGGGGTTAATGCATGCTTCTCTTTCAAATATTGAACCGTGACCACTAAGCCCACTAAATCCTTTTATTGCAATTGGGAATGATCACAGTCTCTCTAGTTGTTTACTTCCAATTATTAACTGTAAATCTCTAGGAAAAAGATCATGTTTTATCGCTGTCAAACCCAAGAGACTGCGTAATCACACTCAACTTTTTAGTGCTTCTTTTCCAGGCATCTCTTTTACTATATGACCTATGCTGACATTTAGCAAAATCTACAAAGTGCAGTGGACTTAAGTTGTGGTTCTAAATGCGCCCCATAATAGAGGGGGAGAGAAAAACTGTCTCCAAAAGAGAGAAAAGAAAAAGAAAAAGCAGCTTCAAAGAAAGGAAACCTCCTGCAAGACTAACGTCCAGTCACCATCATCACTCCAAAAAAAAGCTCCAAATTTGAAATACACGTGTCTCGGTGAGCGTGTCCCAAGTGATGTTTAGAGAACTTACTCTAGGCAACCAATAAATAACACCTTGAAAACTTTACCATTTTAAACGCAAATGCAGGAGACCTTAGAAACAACTGGGAACCGCCATCTTACAAGCCATCCAATCTCACACAAGTGTCCCTCCAACTTAAGTTAATAACATTTTTGTTTGGGCGCTCCCCAGTCTAACATCCACCTTGGCGGGACCGCTGCCCCCCACGCAACCCGTCCCTATAAAATGGGGGCGTTCTCTGGATGTTCAAACCCCTCAAAAGCCTTTTCTTCGGGAGAGGAGGGAAGCCACTTGACCCAAGCAGCTCCCGATTTCAGGAACCCGTCCCCGTTTCATCAAAATCTACCTCTCAACAAAGGGCGCCGTGGCCGCGAGAGCCGCAGAGGCTGCAAACAGAAGTGTTCTTCTCGGGGGCCATGCGCGTCGCGAGGGTGTAGAGGGGCGCTCGGGGGAGAAAGGAACTAAAACGTGGGGCCGCGCGCGGCGCGTCCGGGGC